AAGCGAAATCAACAACGTGAAAAGAGCTTTGACTATGAACAAAGATTTTCTCTTTTGTTTTTTTTTTTTTGAATTTTTCGCTTGCTTTTTGCTAGCCCACATCACGTAGGCTCAATGAGAATTGCATGCATTTGGATGTTATGACAAAAAACTGTCATAGAGAAATTCCGCAATGTTGCAAAAGCGCTGACAACAACTACGAACAAACAAAAGCCAAATTCCTCTTCACTACATTTTTTCCGAAACTTGATTGAATTAAATTAATTTGAAATGATTTGCAGTCATAAGTGTGTGTGGAATGCTAAAAATAAATATTTTGTTTGGCAAGCAAACGAGAACATCAGACTGTGTGTATGGGTTTAAAGCACAGCAGAGTAAATTTAAAATTGATGTACTGAGAATTTTTTGCTCGGACTACGTTCAGGAAGTTAAAGTAAATAGATGCAAAAAATGTAGTTTAAAAAACTAAAAACTTGGATTTATAATTTCCATTTGTACTGTCATCAGGTTACTTTAAGAATGGAAATTTAAAGCAATCCCATTCGTTCTGTGATCAGATATGTAAATTGAGAATGGAAATCACTGCATCTTTGAGGCGCATCATATTACATAACTACATCCCAAGCTAATAAAAGCGAGGTAAAATTATAGATTTCAGAGGGTTCAAATTCTACTGAAACACATCAAGTCTCAGAAGGAAAGCTTTTCCAGCTAAGATGATAAGCCTAGGCTGCGATTTATTTACTTTAAACAGATATGTGTACTTCTAACTAAAAAATTGTTACTTAATGTTAAGTAATTTTGGCTAATAATAACGCTTATATACCGCTAGTAAGCGTTTTTAAGCCTCTTTTTTCATTATGTTCAGGCGCGACTACTAACACCAAGCGCCTAAATGCATGCTATGTACTGTTTTATGAGAAAAAACTCCTTCATTAAATTTATGAAATTTTTGGCACATACACTTCTCAACTGCCATGTAATAAAATGTTCTTAAGTTATGATTTGATAGCAGTTCAAAGTATGCTCGGCCTAGTCTGATGCATGATTCGGACAATGGTTCCGGAATTTTCTGCAGACTCTGCATGGCTTACAATTATGCATGGGAGGAAAAAGTTGATTACCATGAGCCACAGTGTCTACTCACTGCTTTATATATTTTCTTTTCATTCACAAGCTAAGCAGTTGAATACTGATAGTGATATTTCTCAATATCGAGCATAATTTAGGGCGCCAACAACTTATTACTTGAATTAGTCCTGTTATGTGATATTTGAGAAGTGCATCTGTATTCTTCGTCAGCTTTGATTCTATTTTATAGTGCATGCGTTTAGGCACTACATATCATCGAAAGCGTCATATTTTTCGTTACGATTCTGCAGCATATGTGGTTTAAAAATGTATAAGCTGACTTCGAAAATTTAAAAAATTTTTATCTCCTTCAACTTTAACTTTAGCAGCATTCATTAAATTTTTCAGCATTACTTCCCGATTAATTCAACTCAAGCTAGGGCGAAACTTTTTCTACAGGATTTAATTCAAACAAAATACTTTTATGTCAATTTTTATTATTTACATTATATTTTAATATTTTCCGTCCAACAACAACTGGTCAATTTACAGTCTGTCACATTTGACTGCAACTGTAAATAGAGCAGTGAAAAAATGTCAGCTTCCCACGTCACTCACACTTCGCACTGCTGCCCCAAAGTGCTTTTCGATGAGGCGAAATCTCATGTTAAATCACTGAAATGCAACACGATGCCATGACAACAACAATTACAATTAGTAGAGGGAATATGTAGTGGCAAATAAGAAAAACACAAAAACAACAATAGTCAATAGCGGCTGATGGCCAATATGGCGTAACGAATTAATATGTCAATATAAGTGGCCAACTGCAAACCCCAGCCAGTGCCAAAGCCATAGCCAGATACAAGTTCAGGTCAGGTGCATATGTGCACAATGTTGTAAGTGAAATGAGTGCAAAAAATGGCATAAGTGTGAAAAAATTGTGCAAAAGTCACTGCTGGTGAACAGATTGCGTTTTGTCGCACAACTGCATTTATTTTTCTGCCATTTCCGGGGCTGCACTATGCTCGAATAGTACATGTTATTGTATTTATGCGCTCATATGCGCATTCATACATACATACGCATATGTAGCTGTACGTGTATTAATTTTTATACTTTTTAAAATTTCCGCCACTTGTTTATTTATGATTTTGCATTGACTCGCCCATTGCGCACAAGTTTATGCTTTTCGTGTAAAATAATATTTTTACGGTTCAAGGTTTCCAAATGGGGGGTTAAAAAAACAGACAAATTGTGGATGTGAACTATAAGTGCACAATCGAAAGTTTTTTTTTTCAAGAGTTGCTCACTTTTTTGGACGCAGCCTTTTTAATAGGCAGCTGCGTATTCAGTGTAGTATTTTTTCCTGTAGTGTAATATTTTCAAGCCGAAGGTACCGCAGTTACAAAAAACTTTTTGGGGATATGCGCTATTTTTTGCGGGAATAAAATATAAAGTTTTTGTTCAAACATATAATTTAACAACAAATATAAATCCCTTACAGTAGAGTAAGTTTTTGCAAATGTGGAAAAAGGCGTAATTGTCGGGGGGTAGACGACGTTTACAGGAGGCCAGTAAGTAAATCGACAAAAAATGTTTAGCAATTAACTAGGTGTTGGCAGAAAATAAGCAAAAACTAAAAGTGTATGGGGTTCAGCATTTGAAAGCGGAAATCCTATAATTTGTATTCGTATGTAGTACTTAGCTTCTTTTTCCATTTTTATGCAAGTAGCTATAGCATAATTTCTGGCAGTTAGAGAGTATGGAATATGCACTTCCGAAATACTCTCTTTTTAATTGAAAGTGAGTTTAGAAACCTTGAATTAAACTTTTGAGCACACAAAAATATCCAGAAATTCAGTGGAGCCCTTCAGCGGGAATTTGTGATGCTTTGAGCACATTTTCTGTAAATTTAGAATGGTTTTGGCTACAATTACACCGCAGGATATTATGTAGATAGTTGTGGAGCGATAGTGGGTACCATATTGTTATAACTAGGTTAGGTTAAGTGGCAGCCCCTGTAATAGGAGCTCACTTAGACAATTAGGAAATTTTCCTTTATGATACTACATTCTGAACAGACCTCCTCGCGGCTACTCAGATTGTGAGAGCCAAAATACTTCGACCTTAGCCTCGCAAACACTGGGAACGTAAGAAGATAGTGTTGACGTGATTCCACCTCCTCATCTTCCAGGTAACTGCGACATACGGGGTCTAGTAGTATGCTCAGCCTTACTGCGTGAATACCGATTGAACAATGACCCGCTAAAACCGCCACCAAAAATGAGAGCTGTGGCTTTGTGAGTTTGAGGATTGCACTTCATTGCCCCCTATCCACCCTCGGCTGAAGGATCTTGCGAACGAGCCCAACGCAACGCTGCTGGGCTGACATGAGGTCCATCTATCCAAGAGTGTACCACAGGTGATCAATGGCACCTCAAGCTGCTCTTTATCTGGCGAAAACGTTTCACGAATACCTTTCCTAATATGAAATTATTCCGCGCGACCGAGAGAGAGAGCAGACATTCCTTAACCAGGTTAGACCGCATCTCCAACGTACTCAATGCTCAACACCCTGACTCTCATAGCACTCGGGAGCAGTGAATCCATCGTCTCCCTTATAGCAACCACTTCCGTCTGAAATACACTGCAAAAGTCGTGCTGATGGAAAGCTCTCGACAGAAGCCCGCACCACCAACCCTGCCGTCCAGTTTCGATCCATCCGTGAATAATCTAGAAGCTTCGCCCAGCCCCATCTTCCCTTTGCGATGCGCCGGATGAGGCTGACAATAACCTCAAGCTTATTCTACGAATTAACTATTGCCTCCGGCAGGACATTATTAAAAGCCCCTCGATCTCGAGGAAGGCTCCTACGGCAAAATCTTTTTTGAGTGAAGGCTTCCTCTATCCACTTCACAATTGTGTGTAGAGCGGCTTCCACCGCCCTTCCTTTACAATAAGCATGCTGATCTCTTGATAGGCGATCTCGAGGAATCACGCTCCTTATGTGCATGTCAACCAGCCTCTACAAAGTTTTCCGTAGAAACGATGAGAGACTCATTGGCCTGAAGTGCTTGGGGGCAACACGAGAGTTCCTTCCAGCCTCCGGGATGAACATCACTTTGATCACCCTCGTATCGTACGCAGTTCGTGTACATTGGGGCCAGCCAACAGCTTGACACCTCCGCAGCTTTTTGCAGCTATAACTAAGTACTTATTAAAATGCCTAGAAAGCTTAAAATTACAGAGCCTGGCAGTTGAAAACTCTCGTTAAAGAGGTAATTCTAACCTTTTAAAAAAAATCGTACTTAGGACATAGCTTCCGCTGATTCCTTTCAAATCTTAGTTCTAGTGGCCGATATTTATATTAAGAAAATAGATTAGCCGAGGAAAAATTTAGAATTTTTCTTGGTAAGATAAATATCATTCAGGTACGCTATATTGTTTGTCAGGAATATCCAGAAGACAGATGTAACTTGAGAGCATTGGCGAACAGGGAGAGCTTGGCTCGCTCATCAATATAAAATAATTGAGGAAGGATGCAAATAGCAACTACAACTAATTACTTCATATGCCATTTGAGAATTGCAAAAGTGCGGTCTAAATAGAATTACGAAAATTCTAAATGAAACTAAGGTACGTCAGAAAGCATACTTTTTTTAGAAGTTCAATTTGCTGGTCTAGCAAAGCACTGTGGTCTAAATGCCGGTTTTGCTAAATAAGTAAATGATTTAAAAAAAAACATGAGTTTTTAATTGATTGGCACTCCCACAAGTTTTTAAAAAATAATATTTTAACCATTGACAACCGAGATGTCTAAAGAATTGACGAAAGCCGAAGGGGTTCAATAGAAATTTGGGCACTACACAGCACGAAATTTTCAGTTTTTTAATATAATATATATAATTTTCAAGAAGTAGACTTACCTTTTTGGTAATTCATATTTTTAACGGTTTACTGTTTAGTACATCAATAAAGAAAGTTTTTGTGCTCACTAATCAGTATTTAGTTTTGAATTTTTAGAGGCAGAAGTACGACGATATAGCAAACTTATTGCTCACTATAAATATTTTAAGTACCACACACGTCAATTTAATCGAATCTGAAAAGAAAAGATTTTATTTGGTATTGTTGATGACTGTAATCTCTTTATTATATTTAATATTTATATGCTTGTTATTAAAGAAATGCGAAATATTTTCAATGAAAAAGGTGCATAGGGAAACTAATTACTTGGTACAATAAATTTTTCCTAATTTTAAATAATAGTAATAATAAGAAAATGTTCTTATCAAAACACAAACCTTCTTAATTTCCCTAACCAACATCCCGCCAATCAGCATAATTAAAAACTGCAACAAAAATAAAGCATGTTCTTGTTATCTTTACCTGCAAATCAAATACGCTTAAGTTGCTATTTTAGTTGTCTTATCTCTTCCGACTGCATTCTCATAGCCTCTTTCACTCCATTCTGGCACTTTCTTCGCTAACTTTCTAACCTGGCCTCATTTATGTAATTTGCCAGCACGCAAAACGAAAATCTAGCGCTAAGTAAATTATTACACCAACTTCATGGTAAAGCGCCTGAAAACAGGCAATAAAATTGTGTGTGCAATAATTGTAGCGAGCGGTGAATAAATGCTGAAGCAAGTAAACTTAGAAGGAAAATGCAATTGCAACATCTTTATTAAGACAAGACAAAAAGGCAAATAGAACTGGAGTTGTACAAATTAAGAGGCTAAACAAGCAAAACTTCTCAAATAAACTATGCTGGAAGAGTGGTAGATACCGAGGTGAGTAGAAGGAATTTGGTGGGCATGTGAAGCGTTATGAATTTAATTTACTTTGTTATAAGTAAGTAATGAGGTGATAGATTAAGAGATGTGCAGATCAGATGAAATTTAAGTAACAGAACAATTGGTTTTATGGTTTATATTTAATACAAAAAATACCGTTTAAAATTACGTTATTAAAAAGGGCTTTCTCGATTATATATAATATTTTTGTCGTAATTTGTCTTCAATTGCCCTCAGAATAAAGTAATTTTCGTGAATTCAGAGTAGTCAGCAATTCCCCCACTAGGATTCTCACCAAGTCATTAAGCCACATTTAGTAGTGATCCAGATATTTTGTGATTGATACGCCATTGTTGACACTAATTTGCGATGGCAAATCAAATTATATTTATTCGCAGTAGCAGAAGCAGCAGCAGCTGATGCAATACAACAACGTTAGAGGACGAGGACAGCTGCGAAGGAGTACAAGGATGATGCTGGCGCTGCAATTTTCACTCGGGTTTAGGATAGATTAACACAATATACCTACATACATGTGTTCGTATGTATATACATATGTATGTATGTATGTTTGTATATATAGTGCTGAGAAGAACAATAATTCCACAGCCAACTAACAGCGATGCCATGAAAGTAAGCAAAATAGAAAGCTACCAAAGATGAGTATGTAGTGATTTCAGTTGGCGGAACTAACAAGCGAGTAGGAAAGGTCAACGAGGAGGACAAAGAGCAGTGCTCCAAACATGACATTGCCAACTGACGCAGAACGCCCTCATAAACACATAAGCACATACGCACATCCATGTTGCATAAAGTCACATGCAAACGCATGCTGAACAATAGCAGCAACAATCGGCAGTTTAAACGGCAAACGAGTTGACAACGAGCGTCGTAAAAACACCAAACGTCAGCTGAATTTGACAGCAAGCAGAGTAACGAGAAGTGCAAAAATTCGCATACCAAAGGGAGATCGTGAATGCCGCACGCATAAGCTCGTTTACACTCACCAGCTGTCAACTGGGTGACAGGTAAAATGCATACAATGACACTGCCTGCTGACGTTCTTGTTGTTATTTTTCTTATTGTTTTCACCGTTGTTGTTGCTGTTGTTTCAGTACAAGTCAAGTGCTTAGAAGCATACATAACATTAATTAAGTTTGTAACGACAAATGCCAACAATGTCAACAACAACAACAATAGCAAAAATAAGAGCGCGGCAACTCAAAGCCAGAGGATTGGAAGGACGAGCAGCTAACGAGGGGAGCACAAACGGTCGGACTGATGAGTGTTGGATATGCCAGACTTTGTCACTTTTCGGCTGACGGCAGGTGGTTGACTTGTCGACTGTTAGTTGCAATAGCGTTGTTGTTTTGTTTGTATTGGCGTAGGTGGTTTTACGGCATAAGTGTAGGGAGCAGCTTTTTGGAGTAGCTTGCCGTATGACAATGTTAATTTTATAAACTCTTCTTAGCACAACGACGACGATGGAGTGGAGTGAGAGCATGCTTTTTGAGCGATGAGCCAAAGTCACTGCGAGGAGTCTCAGCTTCAAAAGGCGTTGTGTACTTGAGCATATGGGATATACCTGCTGCACGAGTGACGGTAGAGGTTTTAAACCTGTAGTCTAGGGGTTATCTTTCTCCCTTGTTTACATTTGTTTGAAATCTTTGGTTGCTTTGTTAGTTCTTCATACTTGAAACCAAATGTTAATGAGTGCTGTGGTTGCCGCTGTGACACTGAGCCGAATTTGAATTGCGGTTGCAAGCTAAACTGGCAAGCTGAAAATTTAGTTACTGAAGCGTTGGAGTCAATAATTTTAAAAGTTGCTTTGCATGGATCGAGCAAAGATGTGAGGGTAGTACCGCTAGTGATTATTCGTTATATTTACTTTGTTTTTATTTTAATTATTTTCTTTGTTTTTATTTTTAATTTAAAAAATAAGATCAATCCTTTTTTAAATGATTTTTTTAAACTCAGGTTTTTAATTACCTAAAATAAAGACTTATACTCTTAGGGCCGTTTTCTCAAGTAGGTTTTAAGATTTACCTGCCCTTCAATAACATTTTTGCCAATAACATTTGTGTTTAAATAACAGATAAGTTTGAAAAGCTACTTAAGGAAACGGATTTTAAATGCGAAAATTTGTCAAAGTAAAAATTTCAATAGCTTTTATAAATTACGTCCGAAAACCTCTAAATTTTCAAAATCTTTAAACTGTTTAAAAATTGCAGTTCAAGTAAATTTATAAGATAAAGTAAATATTGTAATACGGCTGTCAAATAAAACAGGTTTAAGAAGGCTTACAGCCGAAGATATTTTTGTGGAAAGTTGCCACCTGTTTGAAAATTTTAATTCAATTTAATTGATAAGATAAATTGAATATTGCAATATGGGTATCAATCTGAAGAGGTTTAAGCAGAAGCAAACTTGTCCGTACTACATGTCAAATTTGACATACCGTCGCATGGTGGACGGTGTGCACTCCAAATTTTAGGTATGCTAAAAATTGAAAAATTTCAATTTCTCTGCTTGTAGTTGCGAAAGGTCTAAACGTTTATAGTACGCAATGCAGACAGAACGTCATATTTGTATAGAAAATTATAAACCCAGCAAACATTTGGTATTCACGGTGGGCGTGTAGGGGGTGTGGCACCTCCCACACCCCATTTTAGAGAGGTCATAAACCGCCTTTATAGGTCCCTAGGGAGCCCTGTTTTTGAAGGCCAATTTTGACATGCATTTTCGTTTTTTGAATAGATAAACGCACTCACTTGAGCCTTTCCGTGTTGCCGGAGAAGAGTGGGCGCGCCAAACATAAGGGACGTGCTTAGGGATTATAACCGATACTAAGTAGAATTCTCCTTTCGGTGTTGCTGGAGAAGAGGGGCGAATGCCTCTCTTGTTTTGTCAAATGTAAACCATGTGCTACGTGTACATGTGATAAATAATAATTTTAGTCAACCCATATAAGTGAAATAAAAGAGGCCATATAGATTTATAACCCGAAATTGTATATATTTCGACATTATTAAATAATAAAAGTACTATTAAACAAAAGTGAGATCCTTTGGCAACGTCTGCAAGTGATAAACATAAATTTCGGCCCACCCACCCCGACGTTGTAAGGAAAGCCAATCCGAAACTTTTGCAGATTGTTTATTGGAACAAATGGTGGTAGTATATTCGCCAATAAAACCTTTAAATATCACTCCATAATGAGCCGTATGTGAGGACAATAAAAGTCCACTATGACTAATTTGCGGCTCTAAATCTTTGCTGGGAAAAAGTAGATCCGTATGCCGTGATGTTCGCTCACTTCAACGATTTCGATGAAATGGAGTTTGAACATTGTGTCGCATAGGTGTATACCGAGCTGAGATGCGACCAACTATGCATACAAGTCTCATTGTGTAAATTCTGCTTTAGGAAAATTTACTGCCAAAGGTTTTTTTTTTTGTGGTGGGTTGCCAGCCATTTGAAAAATTATATCCAATTAAATTGATAAAATCAATAAAATATTACAATACGGGTATCAAACAACACAAAAATACGTTTAAGGCGCAGTGAAGTACGCCGGGTATTTTCTTGTTCGTTATAAAATCAATATTTATTATTGAGTTCGGGTTAAATAAATTATTTGCTATAAAAGAAAAATGTAATCTTGTTAGCAGTGTTTAAATAAGTGTTTTTAATTATAGTATACATACCTATATATTTTTTCCAGTCCATTTGGCAAAAAAAAAATTCTTTAGAAGATAAACCAGGTATATAGAATTTCCCGAAATATCGAAAAATTAATACAAGATTTTTAATTTTTCTATATATTTATTTATTTTTTGTTTTAATTGAAACAGCTAAGGTGGTTTAACAATTTTAATTTTTTTAATGGAATTTTCGTGTTTTTTGTAAAAATTTTCTCTAGTTTTTGATAATATTTAATACTTGTTTATAGATATACATATGACAAAATATGTACATATACATATAATCAGAAAGTGTGTTGAATCTTAATATTCTATAATATCTATTTTATTAATTTAAATAATTTGGTAACTGAAAATTTTTAATTGATGGAATTTTTAAACTCTCAAAAAAAAATGTATTAAATGTTTATATTGATAAATTGGTTATAGATTTTTCAATTTACCAAAATATTTTTTAAATTTATTTTTAGATTTTCTTAACTTAAAATAATTCGCCTTTACAGAATAAGTTTCTAAATTCAACTATAAATAACTTTAAACCCTGCCAACAGCCTCAATTAAAAGTCCCTTTACCTGCACGCACGAAAAAATACAGACTATTA